GGTTAGGTATATCACGTTTGATACAAAGCAAGCTGCTATGATTGCAACAAATCTTTTGTGATTAATTTGATTTAAACTTTGCCGAAACATGAATTGTTACTCAAAAGAAAGGAAGGTATAAACTGATGTATGAATATAGTGTACCAATAAATGGACGTTTGATGGCTTGTCTCAAAATGTCACCATCAATATGTTGATGAAACGCCTACTATCGAGTGACATCATGATATAACGAACGAACAAACAATTACCCTATAATTTTATAACCACAATGAACAACAAACACTCTCAGTCATACGATAATATTTTTGAACAAAGTTCAAGCTTACTAGTTGTTACAATTTTCAAGTTCAAACGAAACTTTCGTTGTTTCTCTACCTAACTCAGATGTGTGTGAGCCAGGTTGGAGTTTCTACAATGGTTCATGTTACTACACTAGTGATACTTGTAAGACATGGTCCAAAGCCAGTGCAATCTGCAGAGGCATGGGTGCTAACTTGCCCGCTATCGAAAGTCAGGAGGAAAATGTCTATATTCAACACAGACACAATGGCGACAAGGCCTGGATCGGTTTGAATGACATTGCTACAGAGGGATTGTTCACTTGGGTGGATGGGTGTCCAGATAAGTTCCGTTACTGGGCGGAGAGTCAACCTAATGACTTTCAGGGGGAGGACTGCGTACACACTCTTGGTCCCAGTCATGGATACATGTGGAATGACGTGGATTGCTCGACTTGTCACCAATATACATGTAAAAAAGGTTGGAAGATGTGATTATCACGTGCATGTTTTAGCAGCATACTTCCCTAGCCTTGTGGCGAGGAAATTATCGACTCCCATTTTATTTTTGTGTTTGCTCTATGCGACAATAACCTTGATGGTTTTGACATTTTAAAAGGCCAATTCTTCAATGGATCCATACTACTCAAATTTTTCATTTGTTTCCTTGTAAATGGTGTTTTAAACAGAACACCCAATCACCTCTTTACAATTTATGATTATTTGTTGACGTTTGAGGTTATCATAGCGACACTTATAATGAGCTTAAAAGCCGTTTACTTTAGCTTTTCATAATTCAAAATAAGTTCGGTGATCCTCATGAGTAACACTTTAATGCTACTTTTTCTTTTCTCGTTGATAAATGCCTTTGAAATTAATTTGATATTGGCAGATTATGATGAATGCAGCAGCTCGCCATGTTTGAATGGTGGAACTTGCGTTAACAAGAAGAGAAATTTTACCTGTATCTGCCCTCGCACTCACAAAGGAAGATCATGTGATGGTAATATGAGAATAGATGGAAAAAAATTAAATAACTTTTATCGTTTCTTGAATAACCAAATTAAGTCTGGTATTTCGAACAGAACGTATAGTATAAAGAAGATATTCTTTGGAAGATGGGAGAATGAAGTAGGAGTCTGGAGAGCTAAGAATTAACTGTTGATAAGTGGAAAATACAAATCTTTGAAAATCCTGTGGCGTGATATGTCTTACATACGAAATCAGAGCCACAACAAGATTTCCAAGTTAAAGTTCAATAACCTTGCAAAACTTTTCCCTGTTGGAAAGGATAGTTTTGGGAAAAGCTCTAATCGGGGAATGTTCTTTCATAATGTTGTTCTCGATTGTGGAAAAAAAAAGGTTTAATTCGCCTTGAATTGATCTGCATGTTCCTCACTCTTAAATTATATTTTCTTGTTTTGAAGAGTTTGACGAATGTTCCAGTAGTCCCTGTCTAAACGGTGGAACCTGCACTGACGGGATTAACAATTACACGTGTTCCTGTCCTTCTCCGTTTTTCGGACGTCGATGTCAGGGTACGTTTGACATCTACTGACAAACACATAAGTATACACATTTTTTAAACTTTGCGGAAAAGTACAGGACTAAGGATGTGGGCTAAAATGTTGAGGGAAAACGAGCTCAATCTTAAAACTGATTTTTTTTTCTCTTTTCCTAAGAGAGTTTCTCTTCTTACGGTACAGACTTCTTTCTTTACTCTCTTCGTCAGCATTTCACGCAAGTAAACGAGTAAATAAGTAATTTCACCGATTGAAATTCAGGCAGTTATGAAAACAGAAGGAGATTTTCTTTTCTTAATTGATAATAAATAATTTCATAAATTCTCGTAGCAGAACCATCGATTCATGTTTCCAATAAGTCTTTATCGACAAAATTAATTAATACACAATAAGATTTTCCAGGAAAGGATATAACACGGCATACGAACCCATCTCATGCTCATGTTCTGCACAAAATAAAGAAGGACAAACTCTATAACTCTATATTTTCAGAAACGGATGAATGTAAGTCCAATCCATGTCTCAACGGTGGAACATGTGTGGATGGAGTTTACAACTTTACTTGTGTTTGCCCAAGCATGTTCAATGGATGGCGTTGTGAAGGTGTAGTACCGTGTGTGATTTCGGGGTTTATAGGTCATAAACAGGAATATCAAATATGCTGAATATGTGTATTAACTGAAGTAGTACAAGCCAAAATGTCCTCGGCATGAAGTCTATCCCTTTGTCCATTGATATCAAATCACTCTTTAATTTATGGAAGTCGTTATTCCCTGAATATTGCACGATTGCACGTAGGATAAATTTAGATTGAATTTTAATTCTTCGAGTTTACTGTATAAAAACATAAAAGAAAAAAAATGATAATAAACGCGAGAAATGTAACGTGTTTAACTCCTTACCTTTATTCCATTGCCGTCTTCTCTATTCCAGCTGTTCTCAAACCTACTTTATCTAATTTATTTGGACCGCATTTGGTATTATATAACTGTTATTTCAGCAGTGTTGACTTTTATGATTGATTGCTTAAACCACTTAGAGGGAATAGAAAGTGGAAGTTATAGTAGGCTTCTCAGGGTCAATACAAGGACATCTTTTCTTCAAAGATATCGCTTCGATAATTTTTCCAATGTTCTTGCCAAATGCTAGTACAAAAATAAATAACTGCAAATTAAATTATCACAAATTAGGAACATTGATCACGGTTGGATGCCTCTCGCCGATACGTAAATTTTCAAGCACAAAAATTTGCCACAGTAATGCTATATATTAGCCTTTATCTTGTCATTTGTCTTCAAAGCTGTTACAGGAACATCGTGCAAAATTCTCCTGGATGCTGGTTATACCTCAAGTGGATCGTACTCTTTGAAAGTCAATAGCAATTCTTTTCAGGTAAAATGATAATGGTGTTAATTCTGTCGATTGGAGTTAAGCAAATTACTATTTTTATTTCACGTCAGACAGTCACCTCTAAATATAGCATACTTCTCCTCTTGTTTTCGTTTATATTCCACGTTTCAAAAAACTTCTCCCCTATTTTGCAGTTACCTCAACATACTGTTTAACATACTATCCTGACTACGCGTAAGATCTATAGATGCACGTGAATTTCAGGGAACTATACATTGTCTCTCTGTCTAAGTCATTTCATTTGCAATATTTATTGTTTTAACTGTCCTTTGTTACCAGATTACGTTCCTGACGAATTGTATCAAGAAATAATGTGACGTTGTTGACTAACGAGTTTACCGTGTATACGTAAAAAGCTTTGATCATACATGGTAAAGTTGAAATCGCTGGTAAATGACGTCTCTCACTTAAACTTTCTCAACACGACTCGACTGGAACAATGTTCGTGTTCTGTCTGTTGGTTGCAATTTTTCGTGCTCTATTGGGAAAACCCGTTTTCAGTTGATTTGTTTAATTAACTTTTTCAAAAGGCATCAAAAAATAGAGAGAATCGGTTAAATTAGCAATGGTAGCAACCACTGAAGAGGAGTGCAGGCTTCAGTTGTTCTTTGTGAATAAAAATAAAATGGTCTCTCGTGCTCTTTCGATACGCTAGATATCAAATGAGTTGAAGGAATTATAGGTGTAAAATGAGCGAAAAAGCAGTAGAAATCTATTTAAAAGAAGAACACGCTTCATGGTATTCCCTCGGCTTCCTAACATGATTGAGTCTGGAAATATCCCTTCCCAGGAGTCATGGCTAGAAATCGAAGACATCATGGCGGCTAAGCATGCGCATAAAAGACAAATTACGGAGTTTAAATATGGCGGCTGCATAAGGCTTTCTGTGGGAAAATTTTGAAAATCAGACAGTAATTTTCTGGAAGCGTGTACTAAAAATGCCCTCGTCTGAAATGTATTAGAAGAGTGTCCAAATCACTCACCTCCGTTCTCAAACTCTTACGATTTCGCTACGATCTGCCCTAGTCGAAGAAACTTTAAACCTTTTTGGTGCCCTAAGTGTCTTAAAATGGCTTATGTTGGTCAGCTAAAGCTTCTCCTGCAGCCACAACAAGGGTTGTTTTATCAATTGCCCACGTCTGTTCAATCTCTTCGAAAGCCAACCTTCTAATTGAAGGCTATTTGAAGTCATAAAAGTGTGAATTCACGCTGCCAAACGACTTCCAAAAGTCCAAAAAAATTTTTTTTCTTATGGGTCTTGTTCCCAGTAGAGACGTTGACTCAAAAACTAAAATTATAAGATCTGAAAACATATCAAAGAACTCTTCGATCGCCGTTTTGTAAAAATATAGTAACCTAGCCTGTTATGGACAAACCGCTACAGGGCAGCTACTGAAGGCTCAAAGATTGACATAGATTGCAGCATTGGCGCGAAAATAATTTGACTTGAAAAACAAAATAGTAAGCTTCTTACTTGGACAAGATTTTAACAGCTTCTCAAGCAATATCTCCCAAAGAAAATAATAAAGAAGGTATCAGCGCTGCAAAATGTCTGATACACCTCCATTTGATTCATTTTTAAAATGGAAGTTGGGGATTGAAAGTCCCTCTTTAGCCTATGCTGTAAGGTGAAATGCAGCTCGTGTTGCGTCCGCGACATCAGCCGCTGACTGACCTCGATTTCTAGCCATGTACTGCGTTTCAACCCAAAGAAGCTCTGTAACTCTAAGAGACTACAAATCTAAAGAAGCATTTTGCTGCATAGTTGTGGGCAATTTCGAGCGATGAAGATTGGGCCATCTGTTCGTCCGGGTTCAAGCAGGATACTGACTCAATCAATTATTCCCTTTCGTAGAGTTACCCGTGCTATCGCTCTTTCTAACCTACATTCATTTTTTATCACACATCGCAGTTTATAGTACCACAAACTATACAAAAGGCGTAACTGCCTCTTTTGAGCGTCTCTGAAGAATATTCGCATTAAAACAAAAAAGTAAGGAGAATCTAGCTCGAATTCATTTTGATAAACTATAGACTCACCGACTTAGAGGTAATAAAATGCAGGCCGATTTTCATGCAAGAGAATTGCTTGTTTTGGTGTGAAACAAAGAAGTTTGTTGGAAGTTTGAGAAGCTTATGGGAATTACAAAAATCAAATAGAATAAAGTAAAATAAAATTGGAGAGCTTTGGAAAAATTAAAATTTAGCTCAGTAACGACACAATAAAGAAGAGTTTAAGTACATGCAAAACGTGACATTTTCGATCAAATCCACCCCCAAAGTCACCGTCCTGCTCGAAAGTAAACGTAGTAGCCAATTAGCAAACGAGAAGCACTATCTATATGTATAGAATAAACTGTTGATCACATCAAATAGATCATCGGTTTACAATTAAGTCTCTAGTTTTTGTATTCCTTTTCTGCAATTTAAAGTAAAGTAGCATGAACTATAGCTTCCACCCTAATGGAAATGCTGAGCACATTTTACGTTAATTCTTATAGGTATATTGTGACATGTCCAACAGTGGCGGTTGGACGCTCATCTCACGTTTCTCTAATGCTGATAGCAAAAACTGGATGCAATACAGCGGGAACTGGTGGTATGACCGCACATCTTCTTACGGCAGCGTTACCAGCACTTCAAGTAACTACGACATGATATCACCCGCATTCTGGCTGGTCAAAGGCAATTATATCAAAATAACCCGAAGTGATGACAGCTCCAACACAGCCTTGTTACAAACCAGCAGCTGCTCTGGAGGCAAAACCTTCAGAAGCTTCCTAACAAGTTACGGTAACTTCAGAAATGGTGCTGTCTGGAACAGCAATGCGTGTCGCAGAAGATGCTATATCTCCAATTATGGTGGCAGCTATTCATCTACAGTGGGCTTCAGTCAAACGCGCTGCAGCAGCAATCTTCAAAGTAGTCGTTACTTGGGATTCTGGTGTGACTGGAGTAGTGGTGATGGAGCTGTAATGATGATCGGTGGAGGAGGAAATTATTGCAAAAGGGCAGATCATGGGATTGGTATCACAGAAGAGGGTAATGCGAGGTTCAACAGATACCCGGGAGGCTGCGAAAGAGACTTTGGTGATGACTGCAACTACTCCAACAGCTACTCCCTCAATCTGTGGATTAAGTAGCTTGATCGTTACGCTCGTCTTTGTAAGAATCAGAACGGAATAGTGATTTAGAGATAACATTAATTGAAAAGCTTTTGAATAGGTTGTTCTTTTATTAACCCAGACTCGGAATAAAGAGTTATCACGATCGTGAAATTGGAATTTGTCAGAAAAGGCGGCACTCTGCAAAACGTGATGGACAAGTTAGTCTTAAAAAATCTAATTCCCCATTCACACCAGCAAAATATATTTCGTCAAACCAAGTTTAGCTACATGAAATCAGAATCAGAGAACTGGAAAACTCAGTGAATTTTCCATAGGATTCATGTAGTCACAAATTTTGAAGTCGACTAACATTGGTTTACGCAGGTTCTATGAAGAGGACAGTTTAAAACCATTTTTGACCAAACAGCTTTAAAACATGTTTAAGCGTTAGCGTGAATGGGGTAAAAGACTTTAACCTTTGTAATTACCAAGATTGCTTTGAAGTTATTTTGATTTATAAAGTAGAATCACTTTTCCGTTAAAAGAATCTAATGCAAATGTGACACCAAAATGAGCTGAATAAACTTTTTCCACATTTCATGGTATTATAACCTGTTTAAAGATCGAAGTCGCGGGGCTGAGAAAGGGGACCGCAAAAAGAACCCTTGAAATTCAAGATTTATTGTCGACTCCTACATCTACTGAACACAAGTCAATCATTTTTTCCGTTTCATCATAGTTTAAACGCTTCGGCAACTCTCCGACGAGTCAAGAGGCTTAATTCCGTTACCATAAGAAAAAGTAACTTTACGTCATTAATCTGATCCCCTCCCAAGTTCCAAGAGTGCTAACAATTTAGTTTAGCTCTTTTGTTCATCTATTTTTCTTTCTCTAATTCTTAGAGAAGTTAAGGTAGCAAGCCCCGATAGGATAATGATGATTTTCAACATCACATGTGTCTTTTCCCTTAAAAAATAAAAAGTATTAAGATGTCTGCTCAAAGAAGTTCCACGGTATTTCCGGTATTTTATTATATAGATACTGATGAAATACCAGGATTTTACCTTTAACTAAAAAATCATATCTTCATCGCGCGCAGTGAAGATACTATCTTTATTTTTCACGTGTGAGGATACTGGTGCCGCCATGGTTATTAACATGATTAGCCAATTACAAGAGAGCTTCACGCTCAGGCGCGCGGCCGGTTCTTTTGAAATTTCATTCACAAAATGGCTTCGAGGTGTAGGAATTTCATCAGTATCTATAAAATAAACAGAACATTACATGGCCGCTTGGGGATATGAATTTTATCTTCTCGTGCTGAAAGTATCTCTCACTCACTCTTGACTACTCTCAACACAGAGGTAACAACTACGACCCGAAATATGATTTATCTGTTACTGAGAGCTAATCAGTTGTCATCTTTGCGGCAACTCTTACAAAAAAACTATCAAACAGCCAGGAAAACATCGCCTTACTCAATAGAATAACAAATTTTCCCTGGAGGTTTTTCACTCGTATGAAAATTCTTTGGTACCAAACATATGTGCTTTGGAGTGAGATTTCATCCTCAAGAAATTTAAATCAGTGTCCAATTTATCACCAATGGCTCCTCAAAGCTTAAAAGTGAAATGGCTTGAGCCGAGAGAGTAGAGGTCGTCGAGGTTTGTTTTTTTTTTAATTTTTGAACAATTTTCATAATTCATCTTTATGTTGTCAGTATTTTTAGTTGAAATGACTGTTTTATTCATTCATACACAATTCGAAGTCATTTAACTTTCCGTTAGAAGCACACCTTCAAGTTGCATACCTGACTTTCAATTTTCCCCTTACTGAGGAAAGTACTTCTCTTACTCTGACAGCTAAAACTCTTTTTGCAAAATATTCCCATTGAACTCTAATAACTTTTTTTTCAAATAATCAGTCATAGCTGGTAACAAGAGTCCAAAAAAGGGTCATGTTGAATTTGCTGCATAAGTTTAAACATCAATAGCAAAAGTTTTTTTCTGAAAATATTGTGCGAAAAGAAATATGCAATCTCTCTGGCGAGATTCTTACCCCGTCCTCCCTATTCAAGAGTTAAACGATACTCCGACGTCTATAAACATCCTCGGAAGCAGTTATGTGCGCAGAAAGTGCCAAAACATGCAACTTTTACAATTTGAAGAAGGAAACACCGTAACTCTTTGAATCACATGTCACACTGACATCAAGTGTGAAAAGTACCTGACGACATGATAAATTTTGACAGCACTCCTTTAGGTTTGTTACCTACATAACCTATCCTCAACAAGTCCTGAGTTTTGCATTTGCATTTTAGCCTAAACGATTTTTAGTAAGATTAAACTTGAAAGTGAAGGAGACAAGGGTAATTTTCGAAAGAATATTTATTGATCAAGATTTGAAAAAAACGTTGTTGTTGCGTTCGGGACTGACCCTACACGGGTGGAGAGGGCTGAGAAAAGAGGCACGCTCAAAGTGTCATGCGCTGTCAGGTGTGTTGTTAGGTTTGAAATTCGCGATATGGAAAGTTTTGTTTGAAATATTTTATGATGACACTGTTCAAGTGAACGATTTTCAGTTGACGTTAACTTCTCGGCTCTGAGAGCATTAAGAGGAGAAGCTTATGACTATTTCGTAAAAAAACTGGAAAAAAAAACACTCAAATTATTTGCTTTTGTTGTTTTTTCTTCTTTCGCGTACGCCTTAAGCAATTGATACGAAGTTCAGATAGCTAGAGTCTGCAGGGGCCAGCTACGCTTGTCAAAATTAATACGACACAACAACTTCTATGCGTCCAAGTCCAGATTCCTTGTATTCCTGTACAGGATAATCACAATGAACGACAAATGACGCTCTATCCGGCGACGATTCGAGGTTATTGCTTCTTACACAGCCTAAAATCCTTCGCTAAAACTAACTCGACAAAAACGGAAAAAAAAAAAAAACTGCAAGTGACACTCAAGCAACGGACATGGCGTGGGAAACTGCGCCCTAGGTATATTGTCAGGGGCGCTATAATCTGTATGTAAATGCAACGAATAATTCAAGGTCGTACCTTATGATTCGGAGAAGAAAAACAAAAATACAAGAAAAATTAAATAATAGTAGAATAACAAATCCCTTTTTCGATTCGATCGTTTAACGTGTAATATACGAGCAGACATTCACTTCTGAAGGGGCTCGGAAAAGTACTACGCAACTCGCAAAATATCCGCACGCATCATTATATGTTAGCCTATTAAATAAGATGTATTTCTAAAACGAAAATGGGCAGTTCTGGGATCGAGAGGAGTGCAGTGAGTACAAAAATGAATTCGAGTGAAGTGTAACAAATAGTACAACAGTGTATATTTTTCTCGGTGAAAGGTAATTATTGCAAACGTAATGAAAATAGTTAGGAAAAGGGAATGCATTCTTCCATTTACCTTTGTCGGCCGATTCTTAATATTTGTAGACAAACGCCGGTAATGTTCAACAGCACGTGCCAATCACTTCCGAAATAGCCAACCAGATCGCGCGAAAAGTTCTATTTACCTGAGTGGGATACACTAAAAACGAATCGTCTCGTTCTCATATAGTTAAGTCACCATCGATTTACATCATTCAAAGGTTTATAACGGAAAGTAACATATCATTAATCTGGACAGACAAAATATGTTATCTGCGCGGAGAGACGAAATTTACCCAGATGACTTGGCCACGAGTTACTTTCTTCACTCGTTACCTACGTCAGAATCATAAAAGATAAATAATTGAATAATCAAATTATTCTATATTGTGTTCGTTCGAGCATGCACGTTTCAGTTTCCACTTTCATTCCTCTAAACATTCCATGCCTTGTTAATTAGATTGGGTCTATTTTAGTCCTGTACATGGTCTTAAGTAGACGACATGTGGCAGAGAACTGCCTTTGTTTTACCAGTGATCATCTTTTTTATTGTGGGATCGAATATTTCCTATAGTTCTAACACAGGTGAGTCAACTAATAAAGCTCTGACTCTTTTGTCACACTTGTTATCGTAAACGCCTTTATTTAGGATGCTCTTTTGGGGTGTCATTATTGTTAAAAAACAACTGATTTTCACAGGCTTAGCCACGAGGAAAGAAAACAAGGACCAGGAGAAAAAACTTGTAACTAAAAGGCAGTTTAAACGAGGAATTGGTAAGTTTTGTTCGTCTTGTATAGTGTCTTATCAAAAGAAGTTTTTGGGTTATTGTTCCAAGATGCATATTAGATATATAACGTAATACGCGGTATCGCTGTAGGTGAGTTCATTTGACTTAATATAATTTATTATGTGACAGTCACACTGCGAGTAATTTTTAGACTTCAGAATATATGGGGAAATTGACAAGCAAGGTTTATTTTGTTCGTTACAAAGATTTATTCTTCCAGGATATAGGTACAGTAATATGGCACTTTCTGTAAGTACTATTCTGGTTATGACTTCTGAACTGTCACAACAAACAAAATGATTTTATTTTTGTTTCTTACATCGGATAATGATAAAAATTGAATCGAACTATGGTAAACGAAAAAAAGAAGAGCAAGAAATTTATAAACTGATAATAAATTAAGTATATGAAAATACGGAAGGCCTAGCCACTTTGAAAGGGAAAATGCTAGTTGCGTTACTTCCTGGCTGAGTGCTGCTTTATAAGGAACTTTAAAACGGCAGAAGAAAAAATGGAAAAATTACAGATTGAGATGAATTTTAATTTTTGTGGTTGATTTCCGAAAATGACTTAATCATTGAATTAAGGAATTAATGTTGTTTGATTAATGAATTTCTATAACCACTTAAGTGTCACATTGGTGTACCTATTAACGCTATTGGAAAAACGTATTTTTAAAAGCAATTAAGAGTCTACTAGTACAAAAACTATACAAAAATAGGGTCCTTTGCAAATATAACTCAGGTGTACCTGGTTTATTGAAAATGGTCTGCAGTGGTAATTCTAGTCACCACAGAACGTTATCATCTTGATGTTGTTATTTTTGGTAATTTGTTGATCCGTTCTATTTAGTTATTCATCTATAATTTTGCTTAAGGTGAGGAGCTTAACACTTTGAAAGAAAAAGCGAAACAAGCGAGTTCCGTCTTCAAGTGGCTAAAGAGAAATTGGCAAAAACTCTTTGTGATCGTCGTTGCCATATTTTCATTGCTAGTAGTTGTGGGGATCTACAGAAGATGTTTCTCTGATTCTGGGTGAGTGCAGGCCCCTGATTTGAACACAAACCAAACATTATTCTCTTATTTTATAAAATTTAGCGTAAACTCCGCCTGTCGTTGTAGTTGGCTTGCGTGCGGGTAAAACAAATTGAAGATCATGTGTTTCACGAATAAGCCCTTGATAAAATTAATAGAAATGTAAAAAACTGAAGAGAAAGGAAAGCAAATTTCATATGAAAGGTAGTCAAAAGTAGCGTCAGAGGTAGGAGCTGCTGTAGGGTCGAGGAGCATATTGCTTATATTAATCGTAAGAAATGCCTTAAATGATCTTCAGACGCCAAACACAACCTTCTATTTATTTCTAGTTCTGGCGAAGATGATGAACAACCAAACGTAATCGTCGTAAAAATGCCTAAGCCTAATGACAAGGAGAAAGGCTCAACTAAGCAGACAAACATGATAGAGGGAAGTTCTACTGGAAATGAAAACAATGGAAAGAGGGGAAACAGTTCTGCTCGTGGGGAAAATAGCACTACGGGGGGTCACAAAGGAGAGGCTACCGACTCAAAATTTGCTGAAAAATCGGCAAAAATTCCGATAGAATCGTCTTCGGTTTTAGTAACAACCAAAAGTAAACAGCATGAAGTGGATGGAGAGCTTACATGTCTTCAGCCAATAACTCCAAAACCCGATTTAAACGAGGTCACTTCTCAGATATGTGCCTTGGATGGTATTCCCATATCTGGATATACCACATTTCAGCAAACTGATTATTACAAATTCTATTTTCATTTCAAACAATATGTTATCAATGAAAAAAATTGTGACGATCAACCCAATTTGCAGCTTATCAGAGTCTGCCAGGGAAGTACGTGTGATGGGCCTTTCCCATTCATACCGCTTATAAAGAACATGGTGACGTCATTGATGGTGAAATATTATGATGCTTACATTCCCACTGCAAGTACTAACACCGAGTTACCGCTGACTATATCGCTATAGAGAAAAGTGTATGTGTATTACTTGTGAAGCCAACTTGAAAGGGTCGTTTAACCAAAATCAATTACATGATTACGCAGATACAAGAGTGCCAATGAGATGGTTGTAACTAGTTTCTTGTAGAGACGTCAGTGTTTTATCTCTAAGTCATCTTGTGGAAGGCTCTTTGTTTCCATATCTGTTAACAGACATAAAAGGTCTATCGATGTCAACCTAGCCTAGACCCCGATGATTTTCGAATAACTTATGCATAATATAACCGACTAGCTGTTATCTGGACGAACCATTGATGTTGTGGCACAGTAATGCTGGTACAGAACTTAAAGACGAAATGGAAATAAAAACGTGTGTAGCACTTAAACAATGGTCAGTAACCAAGAGCTCTAAGTCAGTGATGTGGGCTACAGCTATCTGATGGATGGGTTCTGGGGCCTGAGTAGTATAGCAGATGACTATATGTAGTGACGTTGAGTCAGACAGACAGATTGACAGACAGGCAGATCTAAATGGCACACGGCTAAACTACGACCTCTCCAGTTATAATTAGACGGAAATTCAAACCAAAATAGAAAAAGACAACTTGGGTGAACATTTCAGGAGGATTCAAGAGTGTGGAACGAGTCCACTCTAAGATCAGATACCCCGATACAGATATTGCTGAGACATATGTAAAGTAAGGTTTCCCCTTATTATAAAACCCTTCAATGAAACCTTTCGAACTGACTCTAGCGATTTTAAGTGTTTTAAAAACCAGAAGCAAACAAACAACAATCACTAGTAGGAAAACAAAACAGAACAAACCAGTCTTCAAGCCTGAGTAAGGATCAGGACGGACGTGGGAAAACTTCATTCCTGGAAACGACTACCTCAACTCTTCTCTAGTCTCCCACGGTTATCATGGCGGACGATGTGAGTTGGTGATACGCAACAAGGGTACAAATTGCACAGGTCTAAAGACAAGTTCTTTGATGTTAAGAGGTAAGAATTAGCTTTCTACAATTTTGTCTAATGTGAGATGCAAATGTGGACAAAACTTTCGTATAACCCATACTTTATCAGTAGACAGTACTTAACACAGTGTGCACATTAGAGATCCCTGAGGGACTCAAAGGCCTTTCATAATGTAAATAGGTTATTCCTTTGTCTGCAAAGTTAGTAACATGTATCAGAGAATAATGTAACAGTGAGGCTGTAAACCAAATGTACGCAACATAATATGATCGTTCACTGTTTTAAAAGTCATGCTAGAGTGACAAAAGATTAAGTGTTACACATAACATTGCACGTAACACATTTGGCATCATGGTTTAAAAATGATATTTTCCCTTGCACCAATGGATCTTTCTCGATTCCTTTTTTTCCTTAAATTTTTGGATTAGCTTACCAAAGTACTTGGCCAATCGGTAAATGCTGCTATGTTGTTTTCTTTGATATAATTATGTTACATCACCATCAGAGTATCATTTTTCAACTTCTGTAGTATTAAAAGTAACTATAGAGGAGAGTTTGCATTTAGAGTGTTTAAGTTGAGATTGTCTTTGAAAGTTATGTAACCTCTCCATCCAAATATCCTTTTAAGTGTTATTATTTAACTGTTATTTCAAATACCAATGCATAGTCAGATTGGATTCTATAGTATTGTCACTTTACTGTACACATTGGTGCAATGTTTGTGAGAATTATGCATGGTTGGAAACCTCATTTACATGGAGAATATTTATTGGAAAATCCACACATGTGTGATTGCAAATAAAATAAGTATGTAAGGTCCTCTAGCTGTAAGCTATTGATACACCCTAAGGAAACAGAAACATGTTAGTTAGCCTGCAAGGCCTCAATGACACAAGTGTTTCTTCACCTGTGACCTGTGAGTAAGTTTGATCTTGAGCAAAATAAGCTGGTGAGAGGCCTAAAGGGGTCTAGCATCCTGGGGTGTTCACTATGTATAGCTAGCCCCCAGATCAAATTCATCCTGATAGCTGGAAAATTCCTATAACCTAGCCCTAGGCCTTCAATCCAAGCACCCCTTCATCACTGAATCAATAAGTGAAATTGGGTTAGGGCATGACCAGGAATGCCCTAAGATAAGTAGATAACCCCACAAGCAACTTTTCAACCTACATTTATAACCTTTATTATTGATCTGAGCTGTGACTGTTAACTATGTATAATTGTCACTGAACAATTATGAATGCTTGACACTCTCAGATTACATTTCACTTGAAAATTTTGAACCACCCAAAAAATTCCTTTTCAGCAATTATCTACCTATGAAAGTTGAGAACATTGATATACCTGGTAAAATAAATTTGTTACAAATACAAATTTTTGGCTAATAATCTTAAAATGACATGGCACAAGGGAAAAGAGTCGCCAGAGCAGAAATTAAAGGAAATTTTATTTGCAATATTTAGCTGAGTCTACTGTTTACAGGGAATTGCAAGAAAAATTGGATAGAAAAACACTGCCAAAAGAAAATAGTACCACACCTCCAGAATTTCAGGGAAAGAATACATTCACCTGCATTCACCTTTCTATGAATCTTTCCTCCATGATCTTATTTCTTCACTTGTGTGTATTATCCCATTTTTTAAATAAAAATTGTTTTTTGTCTACCCCACAGGTGAGGGTCATTGAGTTTCAACGATGAAATATGACATGAAAGAGTGATATACATATATTACAGGTCAGTGCTGAACAGAGTCATTTGGATACTTCACACAAGTGTATGTCTCATTGTGAATACATCTGGAGAAAATGAGTGCTAAGGAACATGCAGTTATCCATTCCCCCCTGAGTTATTCCATAGCAGGCACAGTTGGAGGCTTGATATCTGTAATTGTGGGACACCCACTAGACACTATTAAAGTTCGTCTTCAGGCAATGGAAATTCTTGCCCAGAAGAGAAAATTTAGTGGAACATTGGATTGTATTATGCAGACTGTGAGAAAAGAAGGAGCAGTGGCTTTGTTTAAGGGTCTAACCCCACACATGGTTATGTCTGTGCCAAGTTGGAGTTTGCTGTTTTGGGGCTATGGTATGGGATTGAAACTTCAAAGTAAAGATCAAAACTTTGATAAATTGGGCTCATTTGAATTTTTCAATGCTGGCTTGTTTTCAGGTTCATGTGTTGCTGCAGTATTTGTACCTTTTTTCCATGTCAAATGTAAGCTTCAAGTCCAGCAAATTTCCAGTGAAAGCATGAAATACCGGGGTCCATTCTCTTTAGCTTTTCATATTTTAAAAATGAAAGGTGTTCAAGGGTTGTATAAAGGTCTCTCCGCTAATCTCTTAACTGCGCCAGCATCAGGGTGCTATTTTGTGTCTTACGAACACTTTGTAAGAACACTTATTCCCCCAGACACCTCACGTGATGACGTAGGGTCCCTTCCTGTGCTCTTGGCTGGGGGCATTGCTGGCACAATATGGTGGTTAGTGGCCCTTCCTGGTGATGTTTTAGCCAGCCGTATTTGGACTGCACCTGAGGGGAAGTACCCACGGGGAGTCCGAGATGCCTTGCGGGAGTTACTTCGCAATGAGGGTGCCTCTGCTTTGTACAAAGGGATTGTTCCTGTGCTACTGAGGGCTGCACCTGAGAGTGCTGCTTTATTCTGGGGATACGAGTTGACTTTGAAAGCCATCAATTGGATGTCAAGAGTTTTCAATCCATCCTCAGAGTGACTCGTCGCAGGCGTTGGAACGATCACGGCTGAGAGTTGCAGATCACTTAATGAGCCTTGAACTGTCATGGTGTCAAGGCACTAAACTGATACATAAGCCCAGCACCAAGTTCAAAAATGTTAAATATGACAATGAACTGAGTGTATCGTTGGGAAATTTGAATTACAAAACACAGTCGTGCTAAAAATAAGAAAAGAGAAATAATTGTTGTTTAGGACACGGCATTAGACAACGTAACTTATTTGTGCTTAGATATTAATTTTTATAGCGTTGCAGTATATTAAAAAAGCTAGAATAAAATTTGAAATAACTTTAATTGTAGATAATATTAATTTAAAGAACCGAGGGTTACAGTAGTGTGATTCTGACAGTAAATATATGGAATTATTATATGTGAACTGCAGATTAATTACGAAATGAGCATGAAAGCGATCTTCGCGGCAATGAACGCTACCTAAGCAGTAGTGAAAATAGGGCCTGAAAAAAATTCAGGCCTATACGGGATTTGAACCCATGACCTTTGCGATACCGGTATCGTAAAGGTACTGGGTTCAAATCCCGTACTTGGGATGCAGACACTTCATTTTATTCGTGCTCCTCCTGAAATTCCAAGTAATAAAACGCAGCTATTGCGGTTGCTGTTCTTTAAATTTCTTGTAGTCGATCCGTTAGTAACTCGCTCGTGCTCGTGTTAGAAATCTTCGTGCAAAGACAGCAACTGATGCTGATCCCATCAACATCATCCCAACCCCACCCCCTGTGACAAACTTGGATCCTCTGGTAGCTTTCTCTGTCGCAATCTGGAAGACGAAAATATTTTTTAGCCAGCTATCATATCTATCAGGACTTGATGTTTGTCATGTTTATCATTAAACTTGTGTATACAACTTCCGAGTACAATACAGTAAACAAATGCAAATTGAAATTGATGAAATTTTTGATGCACTTCTAATGGTTCTTTTATGTCTCTCCCCTAGAATCGTTCTGTTTATTTGATATAATCACTCCCTGTAGCCAAACATACCTCTTTTACGTCCTCACTCATTTTCTCATCCTTAGCTATGGTATCATCCTAAAACGGACCAGGTGGAAATGTCATTCATCCAAGAATTAAAAATAAGAAAAGAACATTACATGGGTATGCCAGATTCAATTGAACAAATTAGAAGTAATTTTCATATTTGTAACATTAATAATGAAGGGAAATAATTCTGTGTAGCCTACGGAACATGTTTATTAATACGTACCGCACTAACTTTAAGTTGCATTTCCTTCACTGGAGGAGACTGACTGGGGCAGGCAATGTCAGACAAAATATCACA